TGTGCCAGGGCTGGACAGTCCTTTCCATGAAGGGATTTTCCCTGATATCCAACCTAATACCCAGGAGTTGCAGTCTAAAGCAATAAAGGGAAGAAGCTCAGACATTTGGCTAATTTGTGGGTTCTTAATTAACAAAAGACACAGAGGATGGTGATGGTTATTCAGAACCACAGTTAATTTTAATAAATACAAAGCACTTCTCACCTGGGCTTCCTCTCAGTATATTGGCATCATCAGGCTGTGGAGCCCTGTGAGGGCTGTTTTTGGGCAGCAAAATGTGTCCTCCATCAGAAAAAAATTCTAAAACAGCAATAAAACTCATCTAGAAAAACCCAGAAAACAACTAATGAGCTGTGGGTGCTGATTGCCAGCATAGCTGAGAAAAAAATCCCTGTTTGGAGAGAGGGGAATGTGTAAAACATGATTTCTGAACGGGCATTTTAGAGCCTTCCAACGACTGAAATAACTAAAAATTCACTTTGTGTAGCATAGGGTGTAAAGCAGGGCAGGCCTTTCTCTGATTATGCTCCTGCTCTTTTCCATCTCAGTGGCTTTTTCCAGTTGTGCACATAAAATACACCTGGATTTGGGTTGATTGAAGTGAAATTTTCAGAACTAGGATGAGTATGGGAGGCAGTGCCTCAGCTTTGGGATTTGAGTTTAGTTTGTTTCCTACAGAACTTGCACAGTATTTCATCAAGTCTCATGAAAATTTTCCTCTCTCTCAGACCTTGTTCTGTCCCACTCCACACCCTCATTCCCAGGGAAAGTGTGGGTTTGATTTGTGTTAAGGTATTATCAGAAATTTGGGCTGTTTCTGTGGTACTCTGGCTTCAGTTCTGTAAAATGCTTCATTTCAGGGAATATGAATCCCAGCAAGTGTTTGACAAATTTTCAAGGATGGGAAGGCAGCTTATGCACATCCCTTGATTTTCACAAGCACTGAAGTCAGCAGCTGAGGGTGTTCATCCAAAATGTGTCTGCACATCCTCACCCCATACTCTGAACCTTCCTTCCCTGCTGTTCAGAGCATTTCTATTAGCTTATCCTTTAATTAATTAATTAATTAATGCTGAAGCTCTGCTGCAGCCTCCCTTCCTTGTGATCTGGGGTTATTTTTTCGACTCTTTGAACACAAAATTTCCCCTGGAGCTCCGGAGTCTTCCCCTGTGCTTGTGCCTTTCCTGGGGGGACCACTGGCACTGAGGGCTGTAAAATTAAAAGAGTGGCCAGGAGGATTTGGAGTGGTTCAGCAGACAGGCCTGGGAATTAATGAGGATCTGGCACATGGACTGCAATTAGTCAGTGCAGTCTTAAATTATTGCCGAACGTTTCTGGCAGTCCAGCGAGGAGAACGTTTGTCTTCCAGACACGGCGTGGTGAAATAAATGCCTCCTGCTGGCACGTGGAGGGGGTTTGGTGGCTGGTGGGACAAACAGCATGTTCTCAGCACTCGTCTCCAAACCAGTGAGGCTCATTTTGAGTGTTTTCTCAACCCCCTGCCCTCCGGGAGCCCTGGGGTTGCAAAGCCTGAAGCGGTGAAATGTCCCCCCAGGGTGGCAGGAGAAGGGCTTTGCTTTGCTCTGGTCAGGGACTGGTGGTGCTGGAAGAACCAGGAGGTTGGATGTAGGTAGATAAG